ATTATATTTTATGTATATATATGGCAACCTAAATAATTGATTCTAATAAATATGATGAAATAAAAAAGAATCTTCCATAAATGAGAATTCTAAAATTGGCGCCATATAAATTTGAATATTATTATAAAATTGTATTTTGTGTATATAGCATATATGTTAATCCAAATTAATGATTCTAATTAAAATAAAAAAGAATCCTCCATAAATGAAGATTCTAAAATAAGCTACATAATTATGTACAAGAAATCAGCTACATAAATCAAGATTCCAAAATAACCTTTACCTACAAAATAACTATTAACTTAATTAAAGGAAACATATATATAATTGTCTAAAATAAACACACATTGAAATCTGAGTTATATGGAAACTATGCAATTAATGATTTATTTTTTATTTAAATAGTATTATATTATTTCCATCCATAGTAAGTAATTAATGCTGATGGCGGGAAAATATTACTAAAAATGATTTAAGTTAATCCTTATTATATATTAATAGATACCATTTATAGTGATATCTTTCATTCCGGAAATCACTTATAAAGTATGTTGTAAGAATTGGCCAGAAAGTTAATTGAATCTATAAGTTAATTTTAATTTAATAAATAATCAAATTAATTAATATAATAAAAGTATTTGAAAAAATAGTTGATAAACAAAAATCTTAAAAGGTTTTCTGAAACACAATATCTTTAACATAATCTCGCGTTTTTAAAAAGTGTATTTTATCAAACGAGACTTATTTAGTTCAAATTTTTAAATAAAGTTTATCTATTCAAACACGACTTATTCGATTATTATAAATTGCTTATAAAACAAAAATATAAGTTATAAATTGGCATATGATACTTTACAAACATACTTGTGACTAAGGCTATGTTTGGTAGACAAATAAGCTAACTTATAACTTATTTGATTAGCTTTTATAAGTTCTCTATATTAAAATAAGTCTTGTTTGGTAAGACGAGCTATTTTTAAAAACTCGAGCTTATTTGATAAGTTTCTGTAGGTAGCTTTTCAATTAAGCTAGTTGAATTTTTTATTCCAGCTAGTTTATCAACTATTTTTACCAAATATTTTTATCATATACGTTAGCTTTTCAGCTATAAGTCATGAGCTATAAGCTCGAAAATTACTGATAAACTATAAGCTAGCTTAACAGCTAGTTTTACCAAACATAGTCTTAATATACTCATATGCCGACGCAGTAAGTACAACTTATCATATACGTCGTACTTACCAAACACATTCGCAGCTTAACATGGTATTCTATACCTTTGACACGTTGGGCTAAATAGCACTGATTTGTAAATGAAAATTAGAAGCTTTTGAAGATAAACAAAACATTATAAAAGTCATATTTATGGATTCTATTCCAAATTGTGTTTCATTCTATTGAACGAATCACGTTTTATAATTATTGTTATATATTTACATAAGTGTCAATCATCCAACGAAATAAAATAGGAGATAGAATATGAAAATGGAATAGAAATTTGATCCGTTAATTAGGGGATAATTAAAACCTTTAGCAAGTTGATGGTTTATATAATTAATTAATGAATACTTGTATTTGAAATTTATATTTTTCATTTATATAGTTTTATAAAAGAATAATGATATATCACACTAAAAAATTTAAAAGTTCAACCAACAATTAATTTAAATGAAACCCCTAATTACTTGAGCAGATGGGACAAAAAGTCAAAATTAGGGTTTTTATGAAAGCGATAGCTCAAGGAAATTTAATGAATAAATGATTTTATTTTTATTTAAACATCGTTATTATCAATTAGTTATTCGTGGCGGTAAAACGTTGGACTTATATTTTATTAGTATTTCACACAGTTGGCTTTAGGACTCTGTTTGGGGGAGCAAAAATAACGCCATTAACTGAAACTGAAAAAACCAAATCAAAACAGGAAAAACCGAAATAACAATAAATGAATAAAATAAAATAAAAAAAATAACCAATAAATCAAAACATGAAAAAGTTAATTAATAAATGAATAATAAAATAAAATAAAATAAAATAAGATGAAAAACATAAAACAATAACTATTATATTCCCACAATTTTTCCATCCATGGCGATTATATTAAAATATTATTAATAAATCTCGGACTGGATAGAGTATTTTAAAATTTTCTTATTGAAATTTAAAAAGAAAAAATTCAAAGAGAAACTACTTATATTATCACAATTTTTCCCTACAATATTAAGAAACACGATTGAAAAATAGAAAATAATAATTAGTACGTATTTTCTAGTAAAAAAAATTATAAATACACTCACAAATTTATAATAAATACTTACTAGTACAATACCCGCGGGTGTTGAGTTAAGAAAAATATATGATAAAAATTATTTATGTCTAATACAAAACATAATCCAAAACAAAACTAAAATAAAAACATCACAAAGCATAGATTTTCGCCATGTCAGCATTCGAAGTGTGAGAATCTACCACTTAAGTTCAACACATTTTGAATTAATAAATAGAGAGGAATTATTTGAGTTGGTCTTGTATTAGATGGATTTAACCATTAAGACAACTATAATTGTGTTATTATTTTCATATCACAAAGAAAAAAAAAAATATATTATATTTTTGTCTCATATATATTCCCAATTTCAAACCTAATCTCACTCTTTTTATTTTATTTTTTTTTTTTGCCACTTTAACACCTTAAATTTTTAAACGAGATAATTTTTTGAAAAAATCTTACCCTAATTTACAATTTTTCCCCTTTCTGATTTATTTTTCTCCCCCTTTTCTTCCTAATACAGCCCTTTTTGTCTCCCGCACACTATTTTATTCACACAATATAATACATTAACAGATTCTTCACGTGCCTTGCCCTGTTTTTTCCAAAATTATTTATTCTCCTTTTTAATATTTTTTTTATTTCCTTTCGATTTCGCTTTTTTTTTTTTTAATTATTATTTTTTTAATTTTATTTCTGGGGTTTGTGTTTCTTTGTGGGTAAAAGATTCTCGGCGGTTACGTTTTCTTGACGGTGGGCGCAGTATATATTGCGAGGGCATTCTCTTTGTTTAGCCCACAAAAACAACAACAATAAAAACAGAGCAAGAGAGAGATTTAGAGAGATTCAGAGAGATTTCGAGAGAGAAAAATGGAGGGAAGAAAGAAGAAATCACTCGCGACTGATCTTTTTGGGGAGAAAGATTCTCGCCCAGCTGGTTCTTCTTCTTCTGAGATTTTGGGCTCCATTTTTGGGAATCCTCCTAATAAGGTAAAAAAAAAGGCGCCGCCTTTATGCCTTGTTGTTGTTATTTTTTTTTTATCTGGGCCTCACTGTTTTGTTGGCCCTTTTATGTATTTGTGTGGTTTTTTTGATGGGATTTATGTTGTCGGCTGATGGGTTAATTTTTTGGGTGTTCTTGTGGTGTGAGAGACATGTTGTGGGTTTTATTGTAGCATGGGCTTTTTTGATTTTTATGTTGTTTGCATGTGATGGGTTTGTTTTTGTTTATGTTTTGTGGGGGTTTGAGGTTTTATTTGGAGTGTTTGGTGTTGTTTTGCTGTATAAAGTTTGGATCTTTTTGTACATAGGTGAAAGGTTCAAAATTTGATGTTTTAAAGTTTTTATTTGGGTTTTATGGTAGCATGAGCTTTAGATTTTATGTTGTTTGCATGTGATTCTTTTGATGGGTTTGTTGTTGTTCATGTTTTGTGGGGGGTTTGAGGTTTTATTTGGGGTGTTTGGTGTTGTTTTGCAGTATAAAGTTTGGATCTTTTTTGTACATGAGGTGAAAGGTTTTGTGTTTTTTGATATCAAAATTTGATGTTTTAAAGTTTTTATTTGGGTTTTATGGTAGCATGAGCTTTAGATTTTATGTTGTTTGCATGTGATTCTTTTGATGGGTTTGTTTTTGTTCATGTTTTGTGGGGGGTTTGAGGTTTTATTTGGGGTGTTTGGTGTTGTTTTGCTGTATAAAGTTCGGGTCTTTTTGTACATAGGTGGAAGGTTTTGTGCTTTTTGATATCAAAATTTGATGTTTTAAAGTTTTTATTTGGGTTTTATGGTAGCATGAGCTTTTGATTTTATGTTGTTTGCATGTGATTCTTTTGATGGGTTTGTTTTTGTTCATGTTTTGTGGGGGGTTTGAGGTTTTATTTGGGGTGTTTGGTGTTGTTTTTCTGTATAAAGTTTGGGTCTTTTTGTACATAGGTGGAAGGTTTTGTGCTTTTTG